TTCACCCAGGATACCTGGTTTTTCCTGTATAGTTTAAAAATAATATTTATCATAGTTACTTTAAAGTCTTTGTCTAATTATTCCAACAGCTGAGTGCCTATGTATCTATTTCTATTGACTTGTTTTTCTCTTAAATGTAGATCACTTTCTCCTGTATCTTCACAATTCAAAAGTTTTGACTCCATGCAACAAATTGCATCTATGTAACAGTAATGTCTGAAGTAGATTTCCCCCCTAGAGGGAATGCCCTATCCTTTCTTAGATAGCTAGGTGGATTGATCCTTTCAAGTCAATTAGAAGTTGACCAGGTAGGGGGAAAGATTGTAGTTCTAATCCCTCTATCAGGGTCTTGGAATATAAGGACTACAGATCTAAAACAAATTTGAATGTGATGTTCAACCCAGTGACTACTTCCTGTGCTGCCAGAAACTGATGTCTTGGATCTTACTAGAAATTGATTGAGATAAAGGCGTAGTTAAATTGATTTTACTTCTAGCTTCAAATACTATGAAGGTGATCTCGTCTCTCCCCCCAGAAGATCCTTGGCACCAAACACCACAAAACTCCTAGGCTGGAAAGCTGCAAGACCTCCAGAGGTCAAAGATTGCAGCCAGTACCAGGTACAGGCTGGTTTACATAGCTGGTTTTCAAGAGGAAGACCTTTCGATATAATGGTTAATAGCAGGTATTCTGGACCCAGAATTCCTGAACTCAAGTCATAATTCCTCTGATATCCAACTTTTTAATCCAGAACATCATTTAACTTCTGTGCCTCAATTCCTTCATCTAGAAATTGGGATAGGGGGAGCTACATAGGGTGGTAGTGGTCAATAAATAAATATTGTAGGTGTTATAAAGGTCCTAGCTCTTGCATTTTGTGATAACTGTGATCTGTGATTTGGGGAGCTAAAAGTGAGCGCCCCAGATGCCCCCCCCACCTTGGTTTAATCACCTCTTTACCCTTCTGTGGTTCCCTCGCTCCTTTCCTTTGTCCCCAGACCACAGAGTTAAGGCTCAAGGTGCAAACTCTGTGAGAACAGAAACTGCGACAGGATGGCTTCAAGACATCTCTTTTCCCAATTGACCTGTCAAAAGGAAAAGGTGGGGGCGGGAAGCACCCCGCTCTCTTTGTGCCCTTCTTTAATCATCCCTGGGAGACAAGCCCAAAGAAATCTCAAGAAACTTCAGACAAGAACCTGCCCCCCTTTGTTGCAAACAATTCCCAGCCCCCAGCTGTGGACGACTTTGTCTCCCAGCTTCCTTGCCTATGAAACACATGACAGCGTAGTGACTAATTGCTGGGACATGAGGCCATTTCAAAAGAACCCGAAGCAAGATTGTCAAAATGAGGGAACTGGCTGGGAGTGGGACCAGTGCCCAGGCCTTGGGGGCCTGGGAGCACTGCCACTTTGGCAGGGCTTCTTCTCACTGCCAGGCACGCAGCCCAGTGCCTACTGTCAGGGATGCTGAGAATGTAGACTGGGATGTGGGAGGTAACAGAGCCAGACCCTCCTCTGAGGGCTGAGGCTTCAATAAACACTTTGATCTCTGCTGTCCCTGCTGCTCCAGCACCAGATTCCTGCCCTTTGTAACGGAGAGCCAGCAAGGTCCGGTCCTTCTCGCTTTAGGTCCCTGCCCTCTGGGAGCTGAGGATGGAGTCAACTCTGGATGGACTCATGGGATGGGAGCACAGAATACACAGAATGACCGTGTGTGTGTGTGTGTGTGTGTGTGTGTGTGTGTGTGTGTACATACACACACATTCCAAGCACCAACAGTCCCTTTGCCAGCCTGCATTTCCTGTTTGTGTTTACAGATCAATCAAACCCAATCCATCCTTCGCCATGTTTCCTAAGCATTCACTGATCACTATTAATCAGCAAGCTGCCCGCCTGTGTGAGCATCTTGTTAATGATGGGGAAAAGACTGCCAAACACCCAGCTCCGCTCCGGACCGGGAAATATGGGTCTTGTCCAGACCAACAAGGCAAAGGCACTGTTGCGAGAATTCTGGCAAGGAACTGAGGGCCCTGGTGCTTGATAACAGGAGAGGAGCAGGCCCTCTCTCTGCAAAGAACAATGTTCAGAGTCCGACTCTAGGCCCGGCATTTCCTTTCATACCAGATATTCTCGGAGAAAGCGAGCAGGTGGAGGGACACATCGGGGCGGTAGGAGGGCTATCTATGTTAAATGGTCTAAGCATTTCACCAAATTGACCTATGCATTCAATGGCCTATGCATTTCATCAAGGTCTTAGGAAGAAGACAGACGGCTGTAGTTGGAGAGATTTAAGTTAGGTTTTCCCAAAGTACTTCTCACTGGGGGGGGGGTTGTGAAGTTCTCCTCTAGGATGGGCTACTAAGGAAAGAAATGTATCTGGGATCTGTCAATCCTTTACTCTGCCTCCCGTACTCAGTCTGGACTGTGTACAGGTATTCATCCACAAGTTTGACTTTCCTATCAGACACATGAATTGGAGGAATCTGGTCTCGCCGTCTCCGGTGGCCTTTTTGGTGTCCTCCCCAAAGTGACAACCATAGTATACCCTCAGAGCTCCAGCCAAGAGTTGATGAGGCATCACCTGAGTGACAAAATTAGCAGCCTTGTCAACAAGCATTGACATGTGATGAGCCTCTGGGGACAGAGCTCTGGGCACTTTTTCCAATCCCTATCTCAATAGGGAGCTGGATCAAGGAAAGTACAAGAGCTCATTTGCCAGCCCTAAGATAGCATTCAATGAGATGGAACCAACCAAGGGGGGAGGTTGTACCAAGGGGGGGTCCACCAAGGGCATCCAACTCAGATATCCAGACCCTCTGGGGCCAGGACTCTAGAATTGAACACAGGTACCCCTTCCTGCAGACCCCAGGCCTACTTAGTAATACTAAGTCCTCAGGGAGCCAAGTCTTGGGCCTCCCTAAAACGTCAATGAGGCTGGACTCCTGGGTCTGGAACAAATTTAGAGACCCTTCCTCCACCCTCTCCCTCCAAGTAGGACTAAAAAGTTACTGGCAAAAGTACATGAGTTGATATGGGTCATAGATTTCTAATAAAGATTTCTTTCTTACTCTTTACTTATATTTTTATCTTAATATTATTATTTCTCTCTGGGGTTTTTTTTTGTCTCTTTGTCTTTTATTATTCCTGTTAGACTTCCCAGTTCATGACGCATCGAGGGAGTAAATGCATAGAGACAATAGCTGATGCACTGGTTTATCAGGGGGTGGGGAAGGCGAGGGGAATTGGGGAGCAAATAATGAATGCAGAAGGGGAACACTAGAACTGATGGTGATGATGTGTATGTAACTCTTTTTGTAAAGTGACTTAACTATAGAAGCATATGATGTGTGAATTTTATCAATAAAGCCTCTACAATTTTTTTCCCCAGAAAGAAAGGTTTGTTTAAAGACATGGTGGTTAGGTTAGAAATGAAGCCCGTGGGGCTGAATATGACGGTTTAGTTCCTACCTCTGCTGATTACAAATTAAGCGACCTTGCTCAAAGGAACCAGCAAAGACAAAGGAGGGATCTGATTTTTTAATGCCAAGGATCCTCATCTGTGAAATGGGGCCAGTAATAATGCCAGCCTCATAGAGTTGGCCCGAGATAGAAATGATTCACAGTGCTTGGGACAGCAATAACAGTGTCACCACTTCACTATAGAAAAGGCTTGGCAGAGGAGGAGCTTTGAGAAGTGCCTTGACAACGCACTCACATAGCAAGCAAAATATTATTCCTTTTATAAAAAAACATGTCCTCACATCAGTATAGGTGAAGCATTAACCACACTAGAAGCATTTCCCTCCTAGGGTTCTCATGAGGACCGACTAAAACGGTCCATGTGTGCTTAGAACGGCGCAGTGTCCCGTACTCAGCAGGCACTTGGTAGCTGTAAGCATGAAGAGCCTAGGTGGCGTAGGGGTGACACCGTGGGCTCTAACCGCCAGGCCAGCAGTCCGTACCCACCGGCTGCTCATCGAGGAAGATGAGGCCTCCTACTCCCATAAGGATTTACAGTGGCCACAGCCAAAAGGTCCTTAGACGTGAGGGTGGCTAGACCTTTGTCTCACGTCTTTTGGACCTGTGAGAGGAGAGACCAGTCTCTGGCAAAGGACACTGCGCTTGGAAACGGAGGAGGATATCGATACAGAGGAAGAGCCTCAAGGAGATGGGTTGACGCAGTGGTTACCAAGGGCTCAGGGCTGAGAACACTGGGAGCATGGCACAGGACTGGACAGTGTTGCCTTCTGTTGGACACAGGGCCCCTTTGAGTTGGTGCCTAACAATGACTGCGACACTTGCTGCTTTGAGGGGGCTGGAGAGGGTATTGGAGACCATCAAGGGGGTGCTGAAAGTAGGCTTGGGCCACCACATAGCCAGGAAGCCTCGCGGCAGGAGGCTCTGTTCTGCTGTGTCATTAACATGGTCTAAGACAAAAACTTAGACAAACACATTTCCTGAGACTCACTCAGGAGTCTCAGTCAGGGCCAGGTCGCCAAGCAAGCATGCTGCCTTGCTTCCCAGGAAACATTTACTGGTCTAAGCCGGGCCTCCGGCTTCATCCCTGCCTAAAGCCAGCGGACATCAGGACCTCCAGAGTGGATAGCAGGGCCTCCAGAAAGTTCTTTCAGCTTCAGGATCCTGCTACAAAGCAGCTGAGCTCCTAATAGCAAGGATTGCATACACACTAGCTTATCTGGGCTTATAGTCTGGAAGAGACACCGGTGCTTGAATGGCAATAAGTAAACCCTAAACACTCCGGGTCTTTTGGCAATGAAACCCACAGCCTCACGTTTTCACCTACGTCCTTGTTCCAGACCCGGCCCTGACCACCCCTGAGAGGGGGCCCTGGGATGGAGAGAGGGTCAGAGGCCTCAGGGCCCTGGGAGAATTCCCTTTACCATTAACAGAGAGCTCATGCATTCTGCTGATTCATTAAACACCTGTGCAACAGCCGTGCCAAGTTTGCCCCCTGTCAGCCACCAGCTCAGGAAATTTTACCTCGTGGATCCCAAAGTGGGCGTAGGAGTCAAAGTAATAATCTCTCGAGGTCATCTCTTCCGGGTTCAGCAGCTTGGACAACTTGCCCCGCCCTGGGCAGCTGGGTTGAGTGGACACGTGGTGGACACATTGCAGGGGCTTTGCTGGGATGACAGGCTGAGGGGGCTGGGCTGGGGGACTGCTCCCCTGAAAGGATGAGAAGGAGACCCAGGTTAGGAGAGGCCCCAAGTTCCCACCCTCTGCCTCCCTGCTTCCTGAGCGCCCTGCAGCCCCAGCCAGGCCTGAAGCCCATTCAAACACATCACGGCAGAGTGATGGCTGTGATTTGCAGAGTCACCTTGAGACCGAGGACCCGAACCAAAGTGGGGGTGACCCCTTCTGATGTGCATGCTGTGCACTGAACTGATCCCAGTCTATCAAATAATAAAGCATAGTAAAGCGTTCCGTTAGAGACCAATGGCAAACGATCCATGAAGGGAAAGCTGCGTCGCAAACACAACGCAGCATAACATCTGGCAGCTGAGAGAGAAGATCCCGGAGCCCAACTGCCTGGGCTGGCATCCCATCTCCTCCATTCACCAGTTACATGACCTTGGGCAGAGTGATTAGCGTCTCGGTGCCTCAGGGTGCCCATCTCTGATGTAGGAACAAAGTGGTCCTCGAGTCTTAGAGTTGTCCCCCTTGGGGCACAGATTAGTATTTGTAACATGCTTAGAAACTAGTCTGGTGCACAGGAAGCGCTTGTCCTAAAATAAATCCTGCTGGTATACTTAGAAACAGCAAGGCTGGGGGCCCTCCCTGCCCAAGAGGCAGCATCTGGCTGAGTTAGGATTCGCCCCTGAAAATGCAGAACTCTTTGGGTCTGCTGTCTCCGCGGCCGTTCTCCCCATGGTCTCCACCCCCACCCCCAGTTTCTAATTCACATCTTACACTCAACTTTGGTCCTGCGAATGCCCAGCCGAGTGGCCAATCTCCTGCCTGGGCACTGTCAATTACTACTGCTCTGAAGGGGCTCCCCAGTCCTGACAGCAAGAGGTGGGGGCGTTGTGGTTACATATTGCCCTCCTAACTGCAAGGTCAGCAGTTCGAAAACTGGCCAGCCACTCCTCAGGTGAAAGATGAGGCTGTCTGCTGCCATAATGAGTTACAGTCTCGGAAACTCGCGGGGCAGCTAGGGGTCCCTGTAGGGTTGCGAGGAGACAGAGTTGACTCAATGGCGGTGAGAGATGAGAGTCCTGCAGCCAGCCCCGCCCTGCATACCACTGCCCTTACCCATCACAGACTGGCCCCCTCCTCCCCAGCAAAGGGGAGGACGGGAGAAGAGACTGACGCTCAGAGAGGTCAAGCCAGTTGTCCGTAATCATGAGGCAATGGAAACTTGTGCCCGGAAGCTCAAACTCCGCTGCAGAAGCACAGTTCTGCCAGGGGCACTGGCTCTTCTTTCTCCCTGGGGTGCCGGCAACCCAGACACACAAGGCACAGAAAAGGCAGAATTCCAAAGATTCACAGAGCAGCAGTAGCTGGACCTAGTGCCCTTGAACCCAACCCTGGTGCCAATGAAATTAAAACTAAGTACTGAGGAGTAGATGACAAGGCCTGGGGCCCCTCTTGAAACCCAGCCCGCCATCTATTGGCTGGACGACCTTGGGAAATCACCGCCCTTGGTTTTCTTCCTCTATAAAGTACAGATCATAATAAAACACGCCTGGTAGAGTTGGGAGGCGTGGTGACTTCGAATGCGGAAAGAATGTAGAATACGGGCTGACACTGAATAGAAAAGGCCAGCCAAACTCAGTGCCATCTCCCAATCCTGCCTCGTGGCGACCCTCACAGAGCGGAGTGAACTGTCCCCGCGGCTTCCGAGCCTGTAAGTCTTTATGGGAGCACGAGGCCTCATCTCTCTCCTATGAGCGGCTGGTGAGTTTGAACTACTGACCTTGTGGTTCACAGCCCCATTCATAACCTACTAAGGCCCCAGGGCTCCTTGACACCTAGTAAGCGTTCCAACTTTCTAATTATTATTATTATTATTATTATTATTCAGAGTATATACATCGTGTCCCGGCTCTATGCCTGGATTGTCTTGTCTGTGAGGTGGGTCAGCTCAGCCTTGACTGTCTCCTTTCCAGCAAGAGAAAGAGAGGGGCCCCTGAGACAGAGCAAACCAACGAATCCCATTCCCTCCATCATCCTGTGAGCAGCACTGTCTGGGACAGGGCTGATGGGGAGCGAACTGGGTGCAGAAGAGGGGGTTGGGGTGTGTGTGTGTGTGTGTGTGTGTGTGTGTGTGTGATGGTCCCATTCTCCTGGTATATCTAGGCTACAGCCTCTGGGAAATGAACCAATTTCCTAGTTTAGCAACAATAGATTTCAGGTCGGTGAGATCCCAGGCTGGCTGGCAAAGGCAAGCGGGCTGCCTCATTAGGATGCAGCAGGTGTGCCCGCCCTCAGCTTGGGATGTTGGTCACGGTCTCCAGGAGGCTAAAAATAGACCTTGTCAATTACACACACCCGTGCCGGCTGCAGAGTCACCTCTAAAGCTGAAGAACACTCCGTGGATGAAGCTGACCCCAAGATTGACTCTGGTTAAGTATATGAAGCTGGTCCAAGCATCGTGCCCGCTCAAGGTCACAGAGGCCCCCAGCACCCTTAGCTGCCATTCAACCCCTATCCCAAGGTCATATTCTCTCAGCAACAGCCAGCTAAGGCGTGTCTACCATGTGTCTGGCACTGCACTCATGACGCAGTGCGTGTGGCGAGATGAACGGATTGGGTGAGCCCTTGGCTTCAATAGGTAGGAGTCCTGGTGACCTAGTGGGTTTACGCATTGGGCTGCTAACCACAAGGTCAGCAGTTTGAAATCACCATCTGCTGCTTGCAGGGAAAAGAGGGGGCTTTCTACTCCCCTCAAGAGTCGTAGTCTCAGGAAGCCACTGGGGCAATTCTCCTCTGTTCTGTGGGGTAGCCGTGCCTCACAATGGACTCCATAGCAGGCAGTTTGATTGCAGTTTGGGATTCAGTAGCCACACAGAGTCAGGGTGGCATGGTGGTTATGCACTGGACTGTGATTCTCGATGTCAGCAGTTCAAAACCATCAGCTAGCTCCTCAGGAGGAAGATGGGGCTTTCTACTCTTGCAAATATAATTACAGTCTCAGGAACTCACAGGGACAACTTTACTTTGTTCTGTAGAGTTGCTATGAGATGGAATCAACTCAATGGCAGGGAGGTGAGCTTTTGTTTTTTTTTTCCAGTAACCACAGGTCATGGGAATAAAAAAGGTGACCTGGCCTCAATGGGCATTATGGGGCTCTGTGCTAGCTGAGCCTGCCACGGAGGGAGCTAGTGGTGCAGTTGATGGATTCTGCTGCTAACCCGAAGGTTGGAGGTTCCAGTCCACTCAGAGGTGCCTCAGAAGCAAGACTTAGCTATTTACGTCCCCAAAACACAGTCCCTGAAAGTCCCGTGGAGCAAAATTGTTCTCTGACACCCGTGGGGGTCACCATAAACCAGAATTGACTCAATAGCAAATGACTTTGGCTTTATCATTGTAGCGCCCCCCACCCACCCTAATCTCCCCTCCCCCACACCCCATGCCCCACAGGAGGCTGGGAGGGTGGTGGGGACTAGCAGTGGCCACAAGTCCTGGGCATTCAGTTGCCTGTAGTATTGTTCTTAATTCCACAAAGACCTACTTCACAGAAACCACAGCAAGGCCCCACGTGGATCCTGTGGAAGAAACGAAGATGTATAGGAGCCTCGAGGTCTCTATTTCTTAGTAGATGAAGGCCCCTTATGTGGTCGACTGTATGACAGAGTGAGCCTTGCTCATCAAGAGCAGTTCAAGGACAGAAGATGTTTCCAGGAAGAGACCAGAAACCCTGGGTTAGCTGAGAGTCAGGGTGAGGGGGGAAGCACTTTAGAAGGGGCTTTTATGGGTGGAGGGATGAGAAAGATGGCGAGGAGAAGGGTGATGCTTGAAGAACGCAAAGAAGCAGGAAAGCGCGGAGTGTGTTGAGGGGCAAAGTTGGCCGAGAGAGGGGGAGAGATCACCGAATGGAAATCAGAGCCAGGCTAAGAGTGTGTAATTAAATCCAAAAGACCATGTGAAGCTATTGCCAGTTTTTAGCCAGGGAGTCTGTGTCTGAGCTCTACTTTGGGAAGGCATTGTGGTACAATGGGCATGAGGGGTAACAAAGGATGGAGGGACTTGGGTAGGGAGACACGTTATGCATTTCTGAGGCCATTTTCCAAGTCCAGTCAAGGAATAGTGAGAACCCGGAACACTGTTATGTTTAGGGGGCTGCCTGCCACAGAAATGTATGGAACAGACACGGTAGGCATTGGCAACTAACTGCGCATCAAGGAAGAGAGAGAAGCTGAGCTCAAAGATGATTTCAACATTTCAAGCCTGGGTGACTAGGAAAATAGTGGTGGCATTAGCAGAACTACGCAAGTCAGCAGGAAGAGCAGGTTGGCGGGAGGGAAATAATGGCTTTTAATTTGGATATGTTGAACCGGAACTGTTATTGAATCACAGAAGGAAAAGTGTCTGCCAAGCAGACAGGATGCAGTCCCAGTCAATTATTAAAGGAAACAAGCGCGAAAGGCAAAAGATAAACTGAGAAATATGTTTCTAACATATATGGCAGACAAAGGTTATTGTTTTTGCTGTTAGATGCCATCAGGCTGGTTCTGACCCACTGCGACCCCATGCACAACAGAAGAACCCCAGTCCAGTCCTGCGCTCCTCACCGAGCATGAGCGCCTTCTCAAAGGACGGTTCCTCCTGGCAACACGTCCAAAGTACATGAGATAAAGTCTCACCACCCTAGCCTCTAAAGAGCACTCCGGC